GGAAGACAGCAGGAAGAGCACCTGCTGCGTGAGGTGCTCATCGACAGGGTCACCAGCTACAACTCAGGACAACATAATTGGAGCCACCAATTATGTTGTCGAGAGCCGCAACTGACGGCTCAAGCGTTAAGATACAAATAAATAAATACCAGTTTTAATTGTGATCAAGAATCAAGTTGATTTGCTATTGTAGGTGTTACAATTTGGTTCATTTACCTCCCCCCATCCCCCTCAGGGGTCGCACCCCACAATTCGGTAAACGATGACTTAACGGATAATAAGACAATTCCAAGGTAGCCTATAAAGAAAAGGCATATTAATACCAACTCTTGTGTTATGGTCATTCTTCATTAGGGCAAATACTTATTAAAAATCGACTTGAACCACCCCCCCAAAAAACATTTTTTGGGGGGTATTTACAGTACCAGTCAAAAGTTTGGACACACCTACTCAATCAAGGGTTTTTCTTTATTTTTTACTATTTTCTACATTGTAGAATAATAGTGAAGACATCAAAACAATGAAATAACACATATGGAATCATGTAGTAAGCAAAAAAAGTGTTAAACAAATCAAAATATATTTTATATTTGAGATTCTTAAAATACCCAACCTTTGCCTTGATGACAGCTTTGCACACTCTTGGCATTCTCTCAACCAGCTTCACTTGGAATGCTTTTCCAACAGTCTTGAAGGAGTTCCCACATACGCTGAGCACTTGTTGGCTGCTTTTCCTTCACTCTGCGGTCCGACTCATCCCAAACCATCTCAATTCGTTGGAGGTAGGGGGATTGTGGAGGCCAGGTCATCTGATGCAGCACTCCATCACTCTCCTTCTTGGTAAAATAGTCCTTACACAGCCTGGAGGTGTGTTGGGTCATTGTCCTGTTGAAAACAAATTATAGTGCCACTAAGCCCAAACCAGATGGGATGGTGTATCGCTGCAGAATGCTGCGGTAGCCATGCTGGTTAAGTGTGCCTTGAATTCTAAACAAATCACAGACAGTGTAACCAGCAAAGCACCCCCACACCATAACACATCCTCCTCCATGCTTTACGGTGGGAAATACACATGCGGAGATCATCCGTTCACCCACACCGCATCTCACAAAGACACGGCGGTTGGAACCAAAAATCCCAAATTTGGACTCCAGACCAAAGGACACATTTCCACCGGTCTAATGTCCATTGCTTGTGTTTCTTGATCCAAGCAAGTCTTTTCTTCTTATTTCTTTCCTTTAGTAGTGGTTTCTTTGCAGCAATTCGACCATGAATTTCTGATTCACACAGTCTCCTCTGAACAGTGTATGTTGAGATGTGTCTGAGAAGATGGCTGCCGTTTTACAGCCCTCTAACCAATTGTACTATTATCTGTGTTTATTCGCGTTATTTGTAATGTATTATGTACATAATATTTCTGCCACCGTCTCTTATGACCAAAAAGAGCTTCTGGATATAAGGACAGCTATTACTCACCTCGTATTGGACGAAGATTTTTTCTTCGAGTCGGACGCAAAGGATATTCTACAGACACCCGACAAGGCCCAAATCCACGTCATTCGCATGAGAAAGAGACAGATATCGTGGACGTAGGTCGGGGTGCCTTGTAAGGATCCGACGGTGAGCGAGTAAACTGCCTCTTCCATCAAGCCTTTTAGCCAATTTTCAATCATTTGAAAATAAATTGGACGACATAAGATTAAGGTTATCCTACCAACGGGACATTAAAAACGGTAATATCTTATGTTTCACTGAGTCGTGGCTGAATGACGACATGGATAACATTTGGCAAATCTGACCATAACTCTATCCTCCTGATTCCTGCTTATAAGCAAAAACTAAAGCAGGAAGCACCAGTGACTCAGTTAATAAGGAAGTGGTCAGATGACGCAGATGCTAAGCTACAGGACTGTTTTGCTATCACAGACTGGAATATGTTCCGGGATTCTTCCGATAGCATTGAGGAGTACACCACATCAGTCACTAGCTTCATCAATAAGTACATCGATGACGTCGTCCTCACAGTGACCATACGTACATACCCCAACCAGAAGCCATGGATTACAGAAAACATCCGCACTGAGCTAAAGGGTAGAGCTGCCGCTTTCAAGAAGCGGGACTCTAACCTGGACACCTATAAGAAATCCCGCTATGCCCTCTGACGAACCATCAAACAGGCTCTGATGCACGTCGGATGTGGCAGGGCTTGAAAACTATTACAGACTACAAAGGGAAGCACAGCCGCGAGCTGCCCAGTGACACAAGCCTACCAGACAAGCTAAATCACTTCTATGCTCGCTTCGAGGCAAGCAACACTGAAGCATGCATGAGAGCATCAGCTGTTCCAGATGACTATGTGATCACGCTCTCCATAGCCGATGTGAGTAAGACTTTTAATCAGGTCAACATTCACAAGGCCGCAGGGCCAGACGGATTACCAGGACATTTTACATTTTACATTTTAGTCATTTAGCAGACGCTCTTATCCAGAGCAACTTACAGTTAGTGAGTGCATACATTATTTTTTGATTTTTCATACTGGCCCCCCGTGGGAATCGAACCCACAACCCTGGCGTTGCAAACACCATGTTCTACCAACTGAGCTACATCCCTGCCGGCCATTCCCTCCCCTACCCAGGACATGTGCGCTGACCAACTGGCAAGAGTCTTCACTGACATTTTCAACATGTCCCTGACTGAGTCTGTAATATCAACATGGCTGGTCATGGCTCACATCAACACCATTATCCAAGAAACCCTAAACCCACTCCAATTTGCATACCGCCCCAACAGATCCACAGATGATGCAATATCTATTGCACGCCACACTGCCCTTTCCCACCTGGACAAGAGGAACACCTACGTGAGAATGCTATTCATTGACTACAGCTCAGCGTTCAACACCATAGTACCCTCAAAGCTCATCACTAAGCTAAGGACCCTGGGACTAAACACCTCCCTCTGCAACTTGATCCTGGATTTCCTGACGGGCCTCCCCCAGGTGGTAAGGGTAGGTAACAACACATCTGCCACGCTGATCCTCAACACGGGGGCCCCTCAGGGGTGCGTGCTCAGTCCCCTCCTGTACTCCCTGTTCACCCATGACTGCATGGCCAGGCACGACTCCAACACCATCATTAAGTTTTCCGACGACACAACAGTGGTAGGCCTGATCACCGACAACGATGAGACCGCCTATAGGGAGGAGGTCAGAGACCTGGCCGTGTGGTGCCAGGATAACAACCTCTCCCTCAACGTGATCAAGACAAAGGAGATGATTGTGGACTACAGGAAAAAAAGAGGACTGAGCACGCCCCCATTCTCATCGACGGGGCTCTAGTGGAACAGGTTGAGAGCTTCAAGTTCCTTGGTGTCCACATCACCAACAAACTATCATGGTCCAAACACACCAAGACAGTCGTGAAGAGGGCACGACAAAGCCTATTCCCTCTCAAAAGACTGAAAAGATTTGGCATGGGTCCTCAGATCCTCAGAAAGTTCTACAGCTGCACCATCGAGAGCATCCTGACTGGTTGCATCACCGCCTGGTATGGCAACTGCTCGGCCTCCGACCACAAGGTACTACAGAGGGTAGTGCGTACGGCCCAGTACATCACTGGGCCGAAGCTTCCTGCCATCCAGGACCCCTATAGCAGGCGGTGTCAGAGAAAGGTCCTAAAAATTGTCAAAGACTCCAGCCACCCGTGTCATAGACTGTTCTCTCTGCTACCGCACGGCAAGCGGTACCAGAGCACCAAGTCTAGCTCCAAAAGGCTTCTTAACAGCTTCTACCCCCAAGCCATAAGACTCCTGAACAGCTAATCATGACTACCCAGACTATTTGCATTGCCCCCCACCCAACCCCCACCCCCTCTTTTACGCTGCTGCTACTGTGTTTATTATCTATGCATAGTCACTTTAACTCTACCCACATGTACATATTACCTCAATTACCTTGACTAACCGGTACCCCCTGTATATAGCCTCCCTACTGTTATTTTATTTTACTGCTGCTATTTTTTTATTTTATTTTTTTACTTATCTATTTTTTACTTAACATTATTTTCTTAAAACTGCATTGTTGGTTAAGGGCTTGTAAGTACAGTGAGGGAAAAAAGTATTTGATCCCCTGCTGATTTTGTACGTTTGCCCACTGACAAAGACATGATCAGTCTATAATTTTAATGGTAGGTTTATTTGAACAGTGAGAGACATTTCCCTCATTAAAATGCAAATCAATTTATAACATTTTTGACATGCGTTTTTCTGGATTTTTGTTGTTGTTATTCTGTCTCTCACTGTTCAAATAAACCTACCATTAAAATTATAAACTGATAATTTCTTTGTCAGTGGGCAAACGTACAAAATCAGCAGGGGATCAAATACTTTTTTCCCTCATTGTAATAACCAGAACTGATTTATTTCATGTTCTCCTTAACACATTCCAATCAACTACTCTCTACAGTGTCTTCAGCCCAACTCTCCTATACATCATTGAACTTTTTCCCGCCCTTGCATCTCGTAATTCAATCACTTCAATGCAAGAACGGAAACCCCATTGTCGTTTGTTTATTCAAATAACTCAACTCCTGCATACAAATCCCATTGGCTATTTGCAACCATTTAAAATCTAAACTCATTAACACATAATACATGTCTCAATACACCACAATTACTATGCTGAATTAATTATACTAGCCTTCCTAATAATACTATGGCGAACATAGCCTACAGTACAGTTACTATAGATAAACTATGCATAGACAGGCAATAGATCACGTGACCAGCGCCAAACGTAAAGTAGGGTCATTTGGCCATTGAGGCAGTGCGTCGCAGTAGAGGTATTCGCGTGGTAGCATACTGTCCCAAATGCCGACTCCTAAAATAGAACTCCGAGCACGACGGTGTTGAAGGCAGTAGGCTATGCCACTGGCACAACATAAACAAAAACAAACCCCTTTTGAACGCCGATTTCACAGTTGACTTAACGAGGAGTAACCATGGAGCATGAAGAATCGCACCGTTTTCCAAGGAAAAAGCGAAGGACTCGCCTCTGCCTAATCATGGGTCTATGTGCAGTATTTTCACTGGTCGTTATCCTCGCTATTTCTCTGGGAGTAGCGCTCAGTCACAGACTGTCCAGCCCATCGAGTGAAAGCCTAAAAAAAACTATTATTGACAAATGTGAAGCATTTATACAGAACAACAAATCTTCAAGGTGAGACACTTTTATTTGATTTATTTTGCATATTTATTTATATTTTTAGCATATTGTTAAAAGTAACTCAAACTTCAGGTTAACTAATTTTGCAGCAGTTTATTCAATTTCCATTGCCATAGTTGAATATAATTAAATGTAGACTCAAGTGTATTCATGATGTAGCCTCCCTGTCTGTATGTGAACCTGCATTGCTTAATGGCACAGGTGGTTGTGCATTTACCCTTGTAACAACAGGGTGGCTAGCTTGTTTAAGGTCTGCTCTGATACTCTCTCACGGTTACCCCTCTTCCTATAATACACATCAAGACAGCTTAACACAATGAGCGAACAGTTAAAACAGTTTAGTTTTCTCCTATTCAATAACCGTTTCACAGGGAGCTATTCCTTCCTCAATCAATGATTGGCCATATTTTTATTTCTAGATAATGCTGTAATACTATTCTTGATAATTCCTGTGATTGTTCCAGTGCAAATGACTGTCAAAAGATATGGAGTGCATTTGAGCAAGCATTCGTGGGGAAGGACCCATGTAATGTACCGATGGAGGCCTATGACCTCCTTATCCATACTGTGATCCAGGATCCTGTCTGTAACAGGGTGAGATACTCACACACGCTCGCTCACACATGCACACACACACCACTCAAATATATTCATATGTTTTGTTTCATTGACAGCTGCAAGTAAAACATTTTTAACTTTTTTTTACATTTCATTGCACCACCAGATGTTGTTCTGGAGCAAAACCAAGAAAATAGTGCATGACTTCACAGAGAAGACAGATTGCTTCCTGACCCTTGAGGACACACTAGTCGGCTTCGTCATGAATGGACTGACCTGGTGTGGCAAGGAGGAGAGCAACGGTAAGGCTCAAATGGAGCTACATACCATCAGTCTGTACATAACACAGTGATAGCCATAAACATGTCAAGTATATTGTGCTATGTCAGATCTACCGGTCAAAAGTTTTAGAACACCTACTCATTCAAGGGTTTTTCTTTATTTTTACTATTTTCTACATTGTAGAATAATAGTGAAGACATCCAAACTATGAAATAACACAAGGAATCATGTAGTAACCAAAAAAGTGTTAAACAAATAAAACAATTTTTTATATTTGAGATTCTTCAAATAGCCACCCTTTGCCTTGATGACAGCTTTGCACACTCTTGGCATTCTCTCAACCAGCTTCATGAGGTAGTCACCTGGAATGCATTTCAATTAACAGGTGTGCTTTGTTAATTTGTGGAATTTCTTTCCTTCTTAATGCGTTTGAGCCAGTCAGTTGTGTTGTGACAAGGTAGGGGTGGTATACAGAAGATAGCCCTATTTGGTAAAAGACCAAGTCCATATTATGGCAAGAACAGCTCAAATAAGCAAAGAGAAATGACAGTCCATCATTACTTTAAGACATAAAGGTCAGTCATTACGGAAAATGTCAAGAACTTTTAACGTTTCTTCAAGTGCAGTCGCAAAAACCATCAAACGCTATGATGAAACTGGCTCTCATGAGGACCACCACAGGAATGGAAGACCCAGAGTTACTTCTCCTGCAGAGGATAAGTTCATTAGAGTTTACCAGCCTCTGAAATGGCAGCCAAAATAAATGCTTCACAGAGTTCAAGTAACAGACATCTCAACATCAACTGTTCTGTGTGAATCAGGCCTTCATGCTTGAATTGCTGCAAAGAAACCACTACTAAAGGACACCAATCAGAAGAGACTTGCTTGGGCCAAGAAACACGGTCTGGAGTCCAAATTGTAGATTTTTGGTTCCAACCACCGTGTCTTTGTGAGATGCAGAGTATGTGAACGGATGATCTCCGCATGTGTGGTTCCCACCGTGAAGTATGGAGGAAGTGTGATGGTGTGGTGGTGCTTTGCTGGTGACGCTGTCAGTGATTTATTTAAAATTCAAGGCACACTTAACCAGCATGGCTACCACAGTATTCTGCAGCGATACGCCATCCCATCTAGTTTTTCAACAGGACAATGACCCAACACACCTCCAGGCTGTGTAAGGGCTATTTGACCAAGAAGGAGAGTGATGGAGTGCTGCATTAGATGACCTGGCCTCCACAATCACCTTACCTCAACCAAATTGAGATGGTTTGGGATGAGTCGGACCGCAGAGTGAAGGAAAAGCAACCAACAAGTGCTCAGCATATGTGGGAACTCCTTCAAGACCGTTGGAAAAGCATTCCAGGTGAAGCTGGTTGAGAGAATGCCAAAAGTGTGCAAAGGTGTCATCAAGGCAAAGGGTGGCTATTTGAAGAATCTCAAATATAAAATATTTTTTGGTTACTACCTGATTCTATATGTGTTATTTCATAGTTTATGTCTTCACTATTATTCTATAATGTAGAAAATAGTAAAAATAAAGAAAACCCCTTGAATGAGTAGGTGTTCTAAAACTTATGACCGGTAGTGTACAGTGGGGGGAAAAAGTATTTAGTCAGCCACCAATTGTGCAAGTTCTCCCACTTAAAAAGATGAGAGGCCTGTAATTTTCATCATAGGTACACGTCAACTATGACAGACAAATTGAGAATTTTCTTCTCCAGAAAATCACATAAGTATTTGGTCACCTACAAACAAGCAAGATTTCTGGCTCTCACAGACCTGTAACTTCTTCTTTAAGAGGCTCCTCTGTCCTCCACTCGTTACATGTATTAATGGCACCTGTTTGAACTTGTTATCAGTATAAAAGACACCTGTCCACAACCTCAAACAGTCACACTCCAAACTCCACTATGGCCAAGACCAAAGAGCTGTCAAAGGACACCAGAAACAAAATTGTAGACCTGCACCAGGCTGGGAAGACTGAATCTGCAATAGGTAAGCAGCTTGGTTTGAAGAAATCAACTGTGGGAGCAATTATTAGGAAATGGAAGACATACAAGACCACTGATAATCTCCCTCGATCTGGGGCTCCACGCAAGATCTCACCCCGTGGGGTCAAAATGATCACAAGAACGGTGAGCAAAAATCCCAGAACCACACGGGGGGACCTAGTGAATGACCTGCAGAGAGCTGGGAACAAAGTAACAAAGCCTACCATCAGTAACACACTACGCCGCCAGGGACTCAAATCCTGCAGTGCCAGACGTGTCCCCCTGCTTAAGCCAGTACATGTCCAGGCCCGTCTGCAGTTTTGCTAGAGTGCATTTGGATGATCCAGAAGAGGATTGGGAGAATGTCATATGGTCAGATAAAACCAAAATAGAACTTTTTGGTAAAAACTCAACTCGTCGTGTTTGGAGGACAAAGAATGCTGAGTTGCATCCAAAGAACACCATACCTACTGTGAAGCATGGGGGTGGAAACATCATGCTTTGGGGCTGTCTTTCTGCAAAGGGACCAGGACGACTGATCCGTATAAAGGAAAGAATGAATGGGGCCATGTATCGTGAGATTTTGAGTGAAAACCTCCTTCCATCAGCAAGGGCATTGAAGATGAAACGTGGCTGGGTCTTTCAGCATGGCAATGATCCCAAACACACCGCCCGGGCAACGAAGGAGTGGCTTTCTTAAGAAGCATTTCAAGGTCCTGGAGTGGCCTAGCCAGTCTCCAGATCTCAACCCCATAGAAAATCTTTGGAGGGAGTTGAAAGTCCGTGTTGCCCAGCGACAGCCCCAAAACATCACTGCTCTAGAGGAGATCTGCATGGAGGAATGGGCCAAAATACCAGCAACAGTGTGTGAAAACCTTGTGAAGACTTACAGAAAACGTTTGACCTGTGTCATTGCCAACAAAGGGTATATAACAAAGTATTGAGAAACTTTTGTTATTGACCAAATACTTATTTTCCACCATAATTTGCAAATAAATTCATTGTGATCCTACAAAAATCCTACAAATAGTTGACGTGTACCTATGATGAAAATTACAGGCCTCTCTCATCTTTTTAAGTGGGAGAACTTGCACAATTGGTGGCTGACTAAACTTTTTTTCCCCACTGTATGTGTAATCAAAGAAATGACAGCTAATAGACCATACATGTACAGTATAAACCACTAATTTACTGGTTGTTTTAGGATGCATCCCAAATGGCAATCTATTCCATGTATAGTGCACACCTCCACTCCCCTCTGTAAGTATTTGGACAGTGAAGCAAAATTATTAAATTTGGCTGTATACTCCAGCATTTTGGATTTGAGATCAAATGTTTCATATGAGGCGAAGGTACAGAATGTTACCTTTTATTAGAGGGTATTTTCATACATTTCTGTTTTACCTAGGCCCCTCATTTGAAGAAGTCATAAGTATTTGGACAAATTCCCTTAGGATATTAAAGTAGTCAAAAGTTTCGTATTTGGTCCCATATTCCTAGCACGCAATGACTACATCAAGCTTGTGACTCTACAAACTCGTTGGATGCATTTGCGGTTTGTTTTGGTTGTGTTTTGGGTTAAGTTTTACCCAATATGAACTGAATGGTGGATGATGAGTGGAGTAATTTTCCTTCTAAGTGAGTATATCAGATGTTTTTGACCACTTCTAAATGTATCCTGATAATACCACGATCAAGAAAAATCATGAATGAATAATGATTATTGAGAAAGTTACAGAGGCTACAACAAAACATGCTAACCTCTCAACATTACAAATAACAGAGGTTAGCCTTTTTGGGGGGGTATACATTTACATTTACATTTTAGTCATTTAGCAGACGCTCTTATCCAGAGCGACTTACAGGAGCAATTAGGGTTAAGTGCCTTGCTCAAGGGCACATCGACAGATTTTTCACCTAGTCGGCTCGGGGATTAGAACCAGCGACCTTTCGGTTACTGGCACAACGCTCTTAACCACTAAGCTACCTGCCGCCCCATGATCTTTGTCCCTCTAACATTCTCACTCATCATTATTCACAATCGGCTTCCTATTTCGCAACAAAGCCTCCTTCACTCATGCTGCCAAACATGCCCTCGTAAAACGGACTATCCTACCGATCCTTGACTTCGGTGATGTCATTTACAAAATAGCCTCCAACATTCTACTCAGCAAATTGGATGTAGTCTATCACAGTGCCATCCGTTTTGTCACCAAAGCCCTATATACTACCCACCAATGTGACCAGTATGCTCTCGTTGGCTGGCCCTCACTACATATTCGTCGCCAATCCCACTGGCTCCAGGTCATCTATAAATCTCTGCTAGGCAAATCCCTGCCTTATCTTAGCTCATTGGTCACCATAGCAACACCCACCTGTAGTATGCGCTCCAGCAGGTATATCTCACTGGTCATCCTCAAAGCCAACACCTCCTTTGGCCGCCATTCCTTCCAGTTCTCTGCTGCTAATGACTGGAACGAACTGCAAAAATCTCTGAAGCTGGAGACTCTTATCTCTCTCACTAACTTTAAGCATCAGTTGTCAGAGCAGCTTACCAATCACTGCAACTGTACACAGCCCATCTGTCATTAGCCCACCCAACTACCTCATCCCCATATTGTTATTTATTTTGCTAATTTGCACCCCAGTATCTCTATTTGCACATCATCTTCTGCACATCTATCACTCCAGTGTTAATACTAAATTGTAATTATTTTGCACTATGGCCTATTTATTGCCTTACCTCCATAACTTACTACATTTGCACACACTGTATTTAGATTTTCTATTGTGTTATTGACTGTATGTTTTATTTATCCCATGTGTAACTGTGTTGTTGTTTTTATCGCACTGCTTTGCTTTATCTTGGCCAGGTCGCAGTTGTAAATGAGAACATGTTCTCAACTGGCCTATCTGGTTAAATATAGCATCCACATTACTGTAGAAGTGTTCAGAAACATTATATTCTTACAATAAAAGTGACTGTAAAACAGATATTATGAAAATACTCTCAAATAAAAGGTGACATTCTGTATTGTTGCCTCATATGAAACATTTTATCTCAATTCCAAAATGCTGGAGTATAGAGACAAAATTTTAGCTTCACTGTCCAAATACATGCGGAGGGGAGTGTTTATAGTGCAATACTTTTGACCAGAGCCCTATATAGGGATTATGGTGCCATTTGGGATGTGCCCTTACTATACATCTGACCATGATAAAGTACAGTATAGCTCATGACGTGGGTCAGAGCCAGAGGGCCTCAGCAGGTCCTCTGGCCAAAGGCTAATGTGATGGAACAGCCTAGGATGATCCAGTTTGCTTCCGTCACTACATTATGTAAATACAGTATGGAGAAACAAGCAAACAATTATGAAGTTCCTTGAAATTTGTGCTGTCAGAAAACGTTTCCTTGTAGTGCCTGCATCATTCAGGCACTAAATGAGAACTTGTTCTCAACTGGCTTACCTGGTTAAATAAAGGTGAAATAAAATAAATAAATAAAAATTCCTTCCTTGTGTGGCTGTCTGCTTTCTCAGAAACGTTCACCACAGGGTGCCCAGGCTGGACAGACTGTGTCAACAACACAGTTCGTTCATTCTGGAATCGGGCCTCAGCAGCGGTAAGTTCTTTTCAGACTGTTATTGAGCCTGCTATGGCCAAGGTGCTTTGAAATCTTACACCTACCAGCCATGAATACAAAACGCATGGAACAAAATGTACTGATATGAATTAGATAGCCAGAAACCAATCCAAATTCAATCTGTGATTGGGAGCAGAGGAAAGGGTTTCACAGTCTTAACTGTTCATCAATAGGCCTTTGTGTCTGTCTCCATGGGAACACATTTCTTAGCTCTCTCCTGATTGGACAATGTCATACATGGCGATGGGATGCAGGCTACAAACTTTCAAGCAGTTACACTTTGGAATTCAGGACAGTACAACAAATGTTTGTGTTGAATTTGCTATTTATAGACAGTCAAGTTCACAATATAATTTCAGACTAGATTAGTGTAGGTGTGGGGGTAGTATTTGTTGTTTTTCAAAATCTGTGAGTTATGAGGGGTGCACAATACGAGTCAGCGGTGGGAGTGAGTTACCTGTTAAAAATGAGTAGGATGCACTGGAAATGTACTGGAAATCTAAGCTTGTTGTTTCCAACTGATTTTGCAATTCAGATGTTATTTTTCTTCACTGTGGGTGTTACTTTCTTTCCCTGGTAGTTTGCAGATGCCGCATGTGGTGATGTCACAGCCATGCTGAATGGATCTATTGCCACTCCTTTCAGCCCCACCAGGTAAGATGCAATGACTGGGTCCTGAGGAGGCTATTATGGATGTGTCCTAAATGGCAACCTATTCTCTATAAAGTACACAACTTTTGACCAAAGTATAGGGAATGGGCCCTATTCAAAAGTAGTGCACTATATAGGGAATAGGGTGTCATTTCAGACACATTTATGTGTTTGGCCTAGCCCGTCTCCAATAATAACTCAGCACAAAAATGTGATAGTCTTATCAAGTTTGTCTGTGCAATGGAATGTGTTATTTCAACTGAATGGTGACATTCTCTGCTCTGGAAAAATAATTATACTCACAGATAGGGCTGTGGAAGTCCTGCAATTTTGGCAGCCGGTGAATGTCAAGCAAATAACTGCCGGTGTCACGGTAATTTACCGTTAATGAACATAAACACATTTCGCATAGCCTACAAGCCACTGATGCAGACCTTTGGAACATCTACATTTAAAAAAAGTCTAATAAAACCATCATAATAAATCCATTATTTATTTTAGACAGGTCTAAAGAACAGAATAGCATACTGAGTTGTCTTGATGTAAGGCCCTGATCTGGCTATGCCATATGGCTGTGGGCTACACTAGTTCAGTTAGCAGACAAGATTTGCTTAGAATTCCGTGGCATTATTTTATAGTATGAAGAATACAATTGAACAGAGCTGAATAAAATAGAAAGGATATATATGTTCTCCAAAGTATTTGAGGGAGTGCACACATGCGGCTATTCTGTGTTGAGCGGTTAACAAAGAAACAGGTACTCTTATATGCTTAATTTCAAGTTATTTATGTAACTTTAGTTGTGATACAAACTTTGGGCTATATGTTTTGATTTTTAATACATTCTAAGGCTGCATGATGAGACTAATGATGATTTGAAAAAAGTTGCATGAAAGGCATGTGCTCTGCTTTGTTTTTTTGCACAGGCTGTACACACTTCATCAGTTTCTCATTCACAATTTGACAAGCACTTAATAAGGACTCGAATTTCCAGGCGACATCCCCTTTGTGTGGCCATAATGCCCCCTAAAAAAAAACCATGCCTTTTGCGGCCAGTGGCCGTTGTGCCCTTGGATAATAATTATAATTCCCTTCTCCCGGCTGGGCGCACTGAAGCACCTCTCACTCACATGGCTGTCCGTCACATGATCAGGTCTTTCTCACAGGCTACAAGTGCAGACACATCGGGGACGCAACTGCGTGAGTCCTTATCCAATTCCAAGGCACATATTGAAGATATTGGAAGAACTGTCCACTTTTCGTCAGCCAATAAGATTAGTAGGCCTAACAAACAGCAAAAGCACTAGCCTATGTCAATCTACTATCCCCCATAGTACAAAAGTTGACCTATTCTGTGCGAGAAATAAATATTCCAAACATAGTCTGGGACAGTTGTGGGATTCGATAGATCCCAAAGTAATACAACCACTAGCATCAAAAAAACATTTTTTAAGTAATGAGGCTGACGCAACAGATCAGAATGTTTAGCTTAAAATGTTGATAAACTATTAGGCTATTTCTTCACATTATAAGCACAGCAATGCGCACACGGCAGTAGGCTATAAGCGTGAATGTTCCATTAGCAGGAAAACACCATTCTCAGAAGTGACTGCAAATGTGATTATGCATGTATGCTTTTATTATAAAGGTGCATTTTATGGTGAAAATGATCTTCCCCAAACTTGAAACTCACACGCTGCATAAGTATGCCAGGTAGGCTCTACACCCGTTGTAAAGCGGATTCATGTGCTTAATTTTAAGAAGTTATTTGGCCACTTTAGTTGTGATACAAACATTGGGTTATATGTTTTGATTTTTAATACATTCTAAGGCTGCATGATGCGACTCTAATGATGATTTGAAAAAAGTTGCATGAAAGGCATGAGCTCTGCTTTGTCTTTTGCATGGGCTGTTCACACTTCATCAGTCTCTCATTCACAATTTGACAAGCACCTGATAATGCCTTGAATTTCCAGGGGCAAATATATCATTCACAAGTGATAGGCTAATATTGTCACCCATCAGACTATTCTTGATTTAATCTTGTCTTTACATATACTAAATAATATATGCGTGCATTTTTATTTATTTAGAATGGACCATTATTATGCACTTGTCTCAAACAGGTGCAGGGGGGAAAAATACATGTCATCTATGCACTTAAATAGCGAATGGAGGACGCTATTCCAATGGTTCATTTTCCTGCCATCCTGTTGTAAGGAGAAGCAATGTGCTTAATATTAGGAAAGTTGAGTAATAAATATAGCAGGCCTAGCCTATAGAAAGCTGATGGGACCCTCCTCTTTTTAATAGAGGCCATCGCTCTGTTTTTCTCACGCAATTGCATACCTATAGAAATGTTGCACAACATGAGCTCATAGGCTCTCATGAAGTGTTTGATTAGATTTTCGATTACATTTGCATTGATGTCAGTGATTAGAGGGACAATAGAGTGCTGAGTACCAGGCAGTTAGCACATTTGGTAGGCTACTAATGACCATCAGCAGCATCAGAGCTTGGAGAAGCCTAATCACTGTGACTAAACTGTCATGTGGAATTTGACTGCCATCAGTAATACGGTCACCTTAACAGCCCTACTCACAGACAACCAAGCAAAAACATCCTTTTACCACAGCTGCCATTTCCACCTAAATGTAGAACCCCTCTATTGCCACAACACTACGTATATTATTAGCAGACTGTTGTGTTTTTGTTTGCTTAAGCAATAGTGCACCTACATAGTTGATTGATTTAATGTAAATCATGATCTTTACACATTTCTATGTTTGTCTTTTATGTGAAGTATTTTTGCCACCATCGAGGTGAAAAGGTTCAAAGCTGCCAAAATGAAGAGCCTGAGTGTTGTCCTGGTGACCAAGGAGAATGAGGGGTGAGCTTTTTGTCCAGACAAACTGACATATGTCTACTGTGTGTGTGTGTGTGTGTGTGTGTGTGTGTGTGTGTTTCTTTCTGTCATAGTTGATTTGTATGTCTTTCATAATCACTGCACCTGCATTGTGCCTAGTATGTGATTATGTAAAATAGTAGAACAAATGTCTGTTTATATATAGGATACATGTAGGCTTTATGTTTCATGGAATATTATGACATATTATAATTTGTTTCATGTCTTTCCCTGCTAAAGGACAACCTGTGATGATCCCTCCTTAAAGGACCTACAGAAAGAGATAGATCCAAAACTCAAGTACAATTGCAAGGCGGTTCCTGAGTAAGTGAAGAGGTTACAATATAACTATTGATTACAACAAATCCATCTGATTTTTGTGTGTGTGTGCACAGCAATTTCTCCAGTGTTAAAAAAAGATAAATGAACACAGTGTTAACCTCTTAAATGTAAAGTCCCCATATTTTCGGACCCTATTTTTTAAAATTGTATTATTCAATTCAGTCTGGAATGAGTACAGTAGCCCCTATCTGCAAAAGCAGGGTGTCAAAATCTTTGGTGTGACTTACTACCATATATGGGCATACGAATATATAAGGACAGGTCGAGGCGATGACCTCATTTCAAGATGGCTGCTACCTACGTTCCAGTTAGCGTTGTGAAGCATAAACAAAATAAGCATGGAATACATTGATACACACCAAAAGCCGGGACTCCACAGATCATGAGGATAACTTATTTGTCTGCATGTGACCTACCGTTATTGATCACCAGCCCCGAGAGTCAAAATGTTTATTTTACACAACGTTTTCACCAAACAGCAAACATCTTACAAGGTAAGCTTCGATTTGGTCTGTGTTTGAGCTATAGCTACATGGGGGGTATGAAATTAATCCTTAGGTTGGTAGGAACAAATCTAGCCTGTTGCCAATGTTATCCGATGATGTATGACTTAATGGCAACATCGACTATGATGTCGCCTGCTTACGCGCTGTAGGCATCCACTACACAGGGGATTGGCTACTATGGCACCTTGACTGTCTTGTAGCCAATGAGATAAGCTTTCCAGGGAACTGACTATCCTACCGATCCTTGACTTCGGCGATGTCATTTACAAAATAGCTTCCAACACTCTACTCAGCAAATCGGATGTAGTCTTTCACAGTGCCATCCGTTTTGTCACCAAAGCCCCATATACAGTGGGGGGGAAAAGTATTTAGTCAGCCACCAATTGTGCAAGTTCTCCCACTTAAAAAGATGAGAGAGGCCTGTAATTTTCATCATAGGTACACGTCAACTATGACAGACAAAATGAGAAAAAAGAATCCAGAAAATCACATTGTAGGATTTTTTATGAATTTATTTGTGAATTATGGTGGAAAATAAGTATTTGGTCAATAACAAAAATTTCTCAATACTTTGTTATATACCCTTTGTTGGCAATGACACAGGTCAAACGTTTTCTGTAAGTCTTCACAAGGTTTTCACACTGTTGCTGGTATTTTGGCCCATTCCTCCATGCAGATCTCCTCTAGAGCAGTGATGTTTTGGGGCTGTCGCTGGGCAACACAGACTTTCAACTCCCTCCAAAGATTTTCTATGGGGTTGAGATCTGGAGACTGGCTAGGCCACTCCAGGACCTTGAAATGCTTCTTACGAAGCCACTCCTTCGTTGCCCGGGCGGTGTGTTTAGGATCATTGTCATGCTGAAAGACCCAGCCACGTTTCATCTTCAATGCCCTTGCTGATGGAAGGAGGTTTTCACTCAAAATCTCACGATTACATGGCCCCATTCATTCTTTCCTTTACACGGATCAGTCGTCCTTTGTCCCTGTCCCCTGCTTCACAGTAGGTGTGTTCTGTTGGATTTTTGCGAGTTCTATTTGGTTTTTTATGACACTCCCACCTTGTGGTGAATGCACTTCTTGCTGGTGACTGGCTTAACCACGTCTGAGTGCAGATTTGACAGTGTGTGGTCTTGGTATGTCCAGTCCTTCCACTAGGTTCGTGTGTTCTGGATTTGGATCATTTGACCCACGGGGTGAATCTGGGGCACGAGGGGTTGATGGTTTGTTTCTTCATTTCCTATATTGTCCCAAGTTGCTTCCATTTTACCTATTGCAGATTCAGTCTTCCCAGCCTGGTGCAGGTCTACAATTTTGTTTCTGGTGTCCTTTGACAGCTCTTTGGTCTTGGCCTTAGTGGAGTTTGGAGTGTGACTGTTTGAGGTTGTGGACAGGTGTCTTTTATACTGATAACAAGTTCAAACAGGTTGCCATTAATACAGGTAACGAGTGGAGGACAGAGGAGCCTCTTAAAGAAGAAGTTACAGGTCTGTGAGAGCCAGAATCTTGCTTGTTTGTAGGTGACCAAATACTTATTTTCCACCATAATTTGCAAATAAATTCATAAAAAATCCTACAATGTGATTTTCTGGATTTTTCTTTTCTCAATTTGTCTGTCATAGTTGACTTGTACCTATGATGGAAATTACAGGCCTCTCTCATCTTTTTAAGTGGGAGAACTTGCACAATTGGTGGCTGACTAAATACTTTTCCCCCCCCACTGTACTACCCACCATTGTGACCTGTACGCTCTCGTTGGCTGGCCCTCACTACATATTCGTCACCAAACCCACTGGCTCCAGGTCATCTATAAATCCCTTCTAGGCAAATCCCTGCGTTATCTTGTAAGATGGCATAGCAGTGCGGTCGTGTTCTTTGTTGTGTGTCTGTGTAAATAGCCTGTTTTTTGTATTTTTCGTACATATTTCCCTATCACACTTTTCATCCTTCTACAAAATATACTTTCCTGCAACCCGCCTCACTCAATGTGGAACGGATTCTATTATTGACTTACCTTTTATCTAGAATCTCCAGTTGATACCAGCTAGCCAGTTAACTAGCTACTTGCTATTAGCCACCGTTAGCGGTTTTCACCCAGAACATCGGATTTTCTGCCGGAATAACTGAATCACTGGACATTAACACCGGATCGCAACTAGCTAGCCGCAACCGAATTGGATGTTGCTGTTTGGCTAATCACCACTGCCCCTGAAGCAAGCACCAGTTAGCCGGGATATGGGCCTGGCTCAAGGCTATCTACCTCTCTGTCTACCGGATGGGAGTAGCCAGCTAACTAGCTACTTGCTATTAGCCACCGCTAGCGGTTTCTCACCATTGTCCGTGGCCTGCACTACCTACCAGCCAGCTCTAGCCTGTACTATTATCGCACTGTCTGCACAGTCTGCACTGTCTGCACAGCGCGTTATCGACCCAGAACATATCGGTTTTTCTGCCGGAATCACTGATTCACTGGACCTTTAACACCGGACCATCGTAGCTAGATAGCTGCAATCAAATTGACGTTGTTGTTGGCTAATCAGCCTCGAGCTAGCCGCGAGCCAGGCCCTTCTCCCGGCTATCTACCTCTCTATCAACTGGACGGGACCTCCTAGTGTTGACACGGAGCCCCGCCGATCCAACACGACTGGTCTGCCGACGAAATCGTCTGATGCGATTACAACAGGTTTCCCGTTACGACGTCGACCACGAAGATCCATCTGCTAGCCCCGGCCCGCTAGCACACGCTAGCCGTGGCCTCTTGCTCGCTAGTGCTATAGCAGCCCCCAAACTACCTCCGAACTCTCCTATTGCTGTTCACCGGACCTTATGATAACTCAGCTATACAGCTGATGCCTGCTGGACTGTTCCTTTATACGGTACCGCATCCTGTTTATGTTTAGCCTCAGCCCAAACTTTGTCGCCATTACCAGCTGTTGTCTTAGCTCTCTCGAATAACACCCGTGATTGCTTTATGCCTCTCTCCCATGTCAATATGCCTTGCTTATTGCTGTTTCGGTTATTTCTTATTGTACTATTTCACTGTAGATCCCCCAGCCCAGCTCAACCTGCCATAGATAGCTCCTTTGTCCCACCCCCCATACACGCGGAGACCGACTCAATCGGTGCCTCCAGTGATGCTCTCTCTTTCATCGTTATCCAACGCTTAGGTTTACCTCCACTGTACTCATATCCTTAAATATCCTTTTCTGTACATAATGCCCTGAATCTATTCTACAACGCCCGGAAACCTGCCCCTTTTTTTCTCTGTACCCAACGCACTAGAAGACCAGTACTTAAAGCCTTTAGCCGTATCCTTATTCTACTCCTCCTCTGGTGATGTAGAGGTTAACCCAGGCCCTGTATCCCCCAGTATCACTCCTACTCCCCAGGCGTTATCATTTGTTGACTTCTGTAACCGTAAAAGCATTGGTTTTACCCAACTACCTCATCCCCATATTGTTATTTATTTTGCTAATTTGCACCCCAGTATCTCTATTTGCACATCATCTTTTGCACATCTATCATTCCAGTGTTAATACGAAATTTTAACTATTTTGCACTATGGCCTATTTATTGCCTTACCTCCATAACTTACTACATTCGCACACACTGTATATATATTTTCTGTTTGTATTTTTGACTTTATGTTTTGTTTACCCCATATGTAACTCTGTGTTGTTGTTTTTAATCGCACTGCTTTGCTTTATCTTGGCCAGGTCGCAGTTGTAAATGAGAACTTGTTCTCAACTGGCTTACCTGGTTAAATAAAGGTTAAATAAAAAAAATGAAAAAATCTTAGCTCATTGGTCACCATAGCAACACCCACCCGTAGTATGCGTTCCAGCAGGTATATCTCACTGGTCATCCCCAAAGCCAACACCTCCTTCGGTCACCATTCTTTCCAGTTCTCTGCTGCAAATGACTGGAACGAACTGCAAAAATCTCTGAAGCTGGATACACTTATCTCCCTCACTATCTTTAAGCATAAGTTGTCAGAGCAGCTTACCGATCACTGCACCTGTACACAGCCCATCTGTAATTAGCCCACCCAACTACCTCATCCCCATATTGTTATTTACATTATTTATTTTGCTCATTTGCACCCCAGTATCTCTATTTGCACATAATCTTCTGCACATCTATCACTCCAGTGTTAATACTAAATTATAATTGTAATTATTTTGCACTATGGCCTATTTATTGCCTTACCTCCATAACTTACTACATTTGCACACACTGTATATAGATTTTCTATTGTGTTATTGACTGTACGTTTTGTTTATTCCATATGTAACTCTGTGGTGTTGTTGTTTTTTCCGCACTGCTTTGCTTTATCTTGGCCAGGTCGCAGTTGTAAATGAGAACTTGTTCTCAACTGGCTTACCTTGTGAAAAAAAAAAAAAGTGCAGTTGACTTGGGTGGGACAAAGCAAGGCCTAGAACCTTTTATGCGTAATGCGAACTATTGCTACCTGGCT